CCACAGTCCCCACTCCCGTGCCGGCTCCTCCCGCCCTTTATTTCTTGGTCGATCTGGGTTGGAGCTAACCCCAAACACACCTGAAACAGTATAGGCTCTGATGCCTTTTTTTTTAAATGCATTTTAATTTTGTGACGGTTTTCAATGTCAAATTGCTTTTCTTATTGGACTCTAAGTAAAGGCTGCAGGAGACTAGCATTTCGTGAGTTAGCGCAGGACGCACGATCCACGGGACCCCCCGGCAGACCCTCCAGCAGACCTCTGAGTTGGCCGCCGACACCCGCATGTTCTGGTTGAAGGCTGGAGGTCAGGGCGATTACAGCGGGGAGCAGAACCAGGTCTGAATAACTCACACGTTCTTCCCACTCACCCACCGCACTGCCTGTGTGCGTGCTTTTCTGTCTCAGGGAAGCTTTCTCATTACCGAAGGGGTATCATGTGGGGAAAAAAACCCCGTCAAAACCAATGTGACTCCAAACCCCCCGTATCTGCTTTCACAACGTTCTGACCAAGATAGAAGAGATTAAGCTTTCTTTTCCTAGCTGTATCTTTGGGATAACCGAGGCACACTGTTGGGAAAAACAGGGTTGCTTGATGTTAAAGCAGCGCAAGGAAAAAGTAAATAATCAGCAAAAGAAACATGTTCATCTGTATACCACTCTTTAAAAATGTTGGAAACCTTTGGAGGACTTACTGCATTTTCACTCTTCGTTTTCATAAATGTTTGGTGCTCTGTGTAGCCAGCCATTGCTTTTCTTTCCAGTTTAAACTTTCTTCCAGAAAGGTGTGGAAAAGGAGAGAAGGGCTTGGTCAAGCCTTTCCAAGCCCATTTGTCAAGCCATCTGCATTTGTGCCCTTTCTTTAAAAAGATGCTTTACAATGTAGGAGAGCAGTTTTTGTAAATTAATAGCATCATTAAAAATAAGCTGGCCTCCTCTTGCACCTCCCTCAACTTAAGGCTGCCGTGCCGGGCTGTGCAGACAGCAGTTTTGCCATGGCCCTGGGCCCCGGGGGAATATTAACTTACAAGGCTTCCCCTATTTTGCTTTTACATGTCTGAAACTATTTCAAAACTTAGCGACTGAAATACAAGTTATTAAGTACACTTCACTAGAATGTGGAAAGTGCTTTTGTTCCTCCCTCCCCCGTTTTGGAGAAAAGTTGGTTGGGAATGAATTGGTGTGTTTTCAAGCTATGTCCTGGATGCTTCTGATTATCTACAGGGACAAATAGCCCAAGGTTATAAAAGGACAGTTAAATTAAAAATCAGGTTGAGTTCTTCTAGGGTGAGATCCTGGGCGCAATTTAAATGCCACTCTCTGAGTTTGAAAAGGCATTTTGTTTTATCACGTTGCATGCCCTAGTTGCGTGGGGTTGCTCAGCGGGAGCCTAACAGGGAAACCCGGTCCTTTGGTTTCCAGCTGCCGGAGCCTCCTGGCTTTGCAAAGGTGCCCTTACCCCCTTTTCTCTCTCTCTCTGGGCTCTCTCTCCAGAAGTCAGGTGCCAGACTGGGGCCGGGGGCCTGACCTCCTGAAGCCTTCTGGACAGTGTGAATTTTTACCGCTTTAATCGCCTTCCCTGCCTGGCTAAGCAGCTGGGCGCAAGCGGAACCATTTCTGTCCGTGCAGGAACCTCTCCCTGACACAGGGACAGACGCGGCCTGGGTACAGGCACAGGAGTCTGGGAAGTGTTTATGGGTCTCCGGCAGCTGCAAAGGTTTGAGTCTCTTTGGCAGATGTTTGCTGTTTCAGCCACTTCATTAATGCTGGAAACTAAACCCCTGACTCTTCCTGACCAAAGCCCCCAGTCGTGATTGACAGCTGGGGCGGGCTTCCTCCCACAGAAGCCCTGCACGGTCTGTGGGCAGGAGAGGGGAGTGAAGAGAGGGATGCGAGCAAAATGCAGACCGTGTTAGACGATGTTGCTAAAAAAAACAAAAACCAAAAAAAAAAAAACCCTCCAAATATCAAGGAAGGCGACCAGAGACTCATTCAAGGAGAAAGACAAATTAAGTACAACTAGTTAAGATTTGAAGTCCCATGGTGTGCTTGGGTCTTTATATTAAATAATTATCCCAGGTTTCATGCATTTCTTCATCCCTGACAGATTCCCTGACAACCTTCTTTGTGCCAGGTGAACGCTGCGCGGTCAATTATTCACCGATGCCCCATGAATAATAAATAAGACGCACGCAACTGGCCCGCACCAGGTCGTTGTCCCCTGGGTGAAACAAACGTGCGAAAGACAACGAGACCGTACAGGGGCCACGAAGACGGGTAGGAATCGCAGCCCTGCGCAGTGGGGACACGTCTCACAAGACCAGACGACGTTTGAGATTGGTCTTGAACTAGTTTTTCAGGCCCAGAAGGAGGGAGGGGCTGAGGTGCGGAGGACATTCCCACAAAGGGAGCCTCTTGTGTAAAGGCATAGGTTATGAAAGGCCAGCGTTGTGAAGCAGGCATCATGGTTCCCATTTACGAATGAAAACACCGAGGCTCAGCTTTGGTTATAAACGACAGACAGCTCGAGGCTCCAGACTGCAAGATCTGGAATCTCTCCCCCCGTTCCACCTGGGGACTTACGCCCTCAGACGCCCTCTGAGCTATGTTGCCTCTGCAGCAGAAAATAGAAAAGATGGAAAATACAAGGATTAGTTGAAACCCAAGGGTTTATTTCTTTAGCTATTTAAAACTGCAGATTTCAAATGAAAGGAGCAGCGTGCAGGAAAATCTGGACGAATTTTGTGCTCGTGGTCGCGTGGAAGCGGGGCGGAGGGAGACGGCTGGAGATGCCCGCGGGGCAGAGCGCCCTGAGCGCCCGCGCTGTCCGCTCCTGTGAGCTGCCTGCAGCCTTCGGTGCGCCGAGACGCGCGGGCGCAGGAGCGCAGCTCCAGATGGGGGTTTGAGGAGAAGGAAGTTGGAGAGGAAGAGGAGAAGAAGTAAGGAAAGGAAGAGAGGGAAATAAAGGAGGGGTAGAAGATGGGGAGGAGAAGCGAGGACAGAAGAGAGAAGAGTTGGATGGAGGAGAGGAAGGCGAAGGTGCTGCGAACAATGGGAGAAAGGGAGAGATTGGAGAACTGCTTGGAATGGAGTTCGCGGCTGTGAAAGGAATGGGGAGGGCCCAAGAGGGTAAAAGAGTCTGGAGAAGGAGGAAGGAGGGTGAGGCAAAGAAGGGCACTGCGAAGACCGGCCCGGGCGCCAGAGCGCGCGCATTCCGGGAGCGCACTGTGGGGCCTGACAACAGAGTCCAAACGCACAACGCTCAGTCCCCGGGTCGCCATATGGAACGAAAAATCTCCCCTCAGTCCGCGCTGCCCGTGGGGTCGCCCCCCCCCCGGCACGTCGCGATCAAATTCCGCCAGACACTCATTTCCCTGCGGCCGCTGACAGCTCCGTACTTCCCAAGGGCAATTATCCTTTTCCACCCTAGATTGTCCCTGGCGCGAACGCCGCGCCCTTGGGACCTCTCGGGTCCCTGCTCCCCCTGCACCCAAAAGAACCCCTCAGTCTTGGCGCCAGACGGCGAGGCCGGGCTGATCGGTGGGTGAGCATCCTCTGCGCGTAGGGGATGGCGGGCTCGCCACGGGGATGGCCGCTGGAGCCGGAGGCGCGTCCAGGCCCGCGGTGGTGACCGCTGGGCCTTGCTGCGGGAAGCGCGCCGCCGTCGCCACCCCTGGCCACTGTGCTGGCGGGCCCTGGAGACTCCCTTGCCTGGATTAGGAGAATAAAGGGAGGTTGTAAATGGGAAAAGGAGGGGATGGAGGGGCACATTCAGACTGCTTCGGGAATGAAGTTCCTCAAAGGAGCCTTGTATGTTGCTCGGCTCCGAATCGTTTTATTACGATCTGTTTGCTCCTTGCTTAATGATTAATTCTCCATCTGTGTCCCTTCCCTCGGAGTCGAACCGCGAATCCCTGCTCCAGGGTTGATAAACTTCCCCCGGGCAAACAGTTCCTGGGAGAGCCCTACGAGACTGGGGCGGATTCCAGGGTTCAGTGAAGAAATGGCACCAGCTCCAAACTCAGTCTCTCAGAAGGCTATCCGCATCTGAACCCAGCGCCCCGGGGAGGTTTCCGTGGACCACTGGCGTGGCGGCTGGGAGGGGGACCCCTCGCCCAATGACTACGACTGAAAACAAAAGTTTCTACAGATATGGTTTGCGTGGTCAAGCAGGAGGAAGAAGAGCAGCCGCTAAATATGCATGTGCCTTTGCGGCTCCCCGAGCCCTGCGAGTGGGGAGGGATGGGGAACCAAAATCGCCTAGCCCGGAGTGTCCGGTTCTCCGAGATGCCTGCCGCGAACGCTCCGCCGGAGAAGCGTACGCCGCGGCTCTGGGATCGCGCTACGCTGGTCCTTTCGGGGACTGAAGAAGTTTATAAACAGAATTTAAAAATAAAAAGGAACACGCGCTTTTGTTGGTTACTCTGCTACACTTCCAGTTTATTACTTGGATACCGGACAGGGCGAGGGTCGTCTCTGATGTGGGATCTCCACGGGCCAGTCAAGTTTGCTTTTGGTGGAAACGCCGTGAGCTCTGCGCACACGGGCAGCGAGCGTAGAGGACGGTAGGGGCAGGCGCAGTCCTGGGGAGAGGGCCGGCAGGGGTCCGCAGGGAGGGAGAGAGGCACACTGGTGTCCGGGGGCGCCGCCTCAGTGGCCAAAGCCCCCGTGAGGTTCCGCGGGGACTCGACTTCTTTCTAGTAAGACGTAATCGCGCCGGTGCGCTGGGTTGCCGGCAGCGGGATCGAGGCCAGGAGGCTGGCAAGACGCACTCGAAGGAGGTGCGCGGGGACCGGCGTAGGGCAGCGGCCAGCGTAGGCCAGGCCTGCGGGCGGGGCGGGGCGCGCTCCCGGTACTGCGCGCACACTGGAGCGCGCGCACACTGTACACGCACGCACACGCACACACCTGGAGCTCTCTCCAGGAGGGGGGCGGGGAGGAGAGCCCAAGCCAGTGTCTTAAAATAGAGAGGCAGGCATAGGAGCGTGAGACGCCAACAGGCGGGAGGAAGCAAGGAGAGCGGCGGGCGCGCGGCGCGCAAGCTCCCGCCCGGGTGGCACAAGCTGGCTGGTCGCCTACGCCCCTCTGAGTGAAGTGACTCCGCACCCGGCCCTGCAGGAAGCGCGCTCTGATTGACAGTTGCCGTGTCCCAAAAAGGCGCGGCGAAGATGCTGATCTGCGGGTGGGTCTAGACCCGCGGCCGGCGCGCTGGGTGCCAGCTCCCCTTCGCGCCCATCTAGGGTTCCGTCGCCTCCTGGCTGCCGAGGCGCGGGGCAGAGACCCCACCGGCGAGCCTGCTTCGCGGCCCCTGCTCACGATGCACTGCCACGCGGAGCTGAGGCTGAGCTCGCCCGGCCAACTGAAAGCAGCCAGGCGGCGCTACAAGACTTTCATGATCGACGAGATCCTCTCCAAGGAGACCTGCGACTACTTTGAAAAACTTTCCCTCTATTCCGTGTGCCCGTCGCTGGTCGTACGACCCAAGCCTCTGCATTCCTGTACCGGTAAGACGCCCCGCTAGGGGGGTTGGTGGGGTGCGGTAACCCTCAGGCGGGTGTCGGGCGCTTTACCGCCCCTGTCCTCCTGCCGAGGGCGAGCGGAAAGGCCCCGGGGAGTCCTCTTCCGTGCCCCCGCAGAAGACTAAACTGGTCAGCGGCGGGCACTGCAAAGGCGACTGCAGCCTGGGCAAGGCTTGCCCAGGTGTCGGTCACTAGGTTGGAAATGAAGGGATGGCAACCGCGCCTCCGAAGCGGGCCGCGCGAGCCGGGAGGACTCTTCCTTCCTTTCAGCGCCGCCGCGGTTCTCAGAAAGTTCCAACTCTTGACCTGGTTCAGAGCCTAAATCATTGTTTCAGGAAGTGGTGTCGCTTCTCATCTGGAGCAAACTCCAGCCTCCTGCCTTTCTTGGGAATTTTACAAGTTAATCGGTAACCGGAGGCTCTCAAAATCATGTGTCCGCTGAACTTGACTCAGAAGGACCTCCTTTGGGGGAAGTAGTTCTGGAATTCGCCCCACTGTGGTGCAAACCCAGGAGTGGGTTTTAAGTGCCCGCTAAACTGAGCTAAGAAAATAACGATAACAATAAAAACATCCTCAGATCCGGGGTCCTTTCTCTGCAACAGAGGAGAGCAATAGTGAGGGTAAAAAGCACTTCGTAAGTACACTAAAAACGGTGTAGCTTTATGTAAAAACGAATCCAAAAGTAGCTTTGATAAACTGGGAATGCATTAAGAAAGGATTTAGACTATTTAAACACAGGTGTGACAAAACAAAACAGCCAAGTTTTGTTGAAGCAATTTTTTTTTATCAGAAAAGTTACTGACTGTGCTTTCAACTCAAGGTGAAAATACGGTATTTCTAAACCAAAGGAAACTTTGAGGTTATGTCTGTTGCATGGGTGGCATGAAATTAATTTAATCATATCTACATTGAAAAAGTCAAGCGAAGAGCTAGCAGCGTTTTTGAAAAACACTGTCGGAATGTTCAGGCCAAGAGCGGCTAGCTAGCGCACAGGCTTGGAATTCTTCCTGTTCTGTTGGTTCCTTGGAGGGTCCCTGTTGGACAGCCAGTGGGTGCGTGAACACGTACCGTCCTATTAAAACCCAGCCGTTCCTGCATGCATTCGGCTGTAAAGTGATCGTCATGTTCCCTTGCACCTTTGTGAAATAAATTTTGTCTGTGAGGCAGAACTAGGCCCAATAGTCCTCAACAAGACTTGTAGTGCTGACTTTTAAAAAGCAAGAAATATGCAAAGGAAGAAACACAAAAGAAACTTTAGGAACAAAGGAGATATCCTTGACATTGGTGTTTTTTACCTGCTGTGTGCAGACGCCTGGACAAACAGTCTACACAGATATTGGGCAGGGGAGGGAGGCTGAATCTTGTTTTGAACACGAATAATCATTTGCTACAATAACTCCAATCCTTTGGAGGCAACAGAGAGGATCTGTTTTAACCACAAATCTCAATGCAGCCTGCTCAGACTGTGTACTTGGAGTTTCTAGTACAAAGCAGAGCAACTTCTAAACACCCAGGTAGAGAGCACAGTGCCAGCAATTTTTTTTTAGTGACTTTTTGCTGTGCATTGATTTGAAGGCTGCTTTTCCTGTCTTTTAGCAGTCAGGGAATTGGGTCATAGAAGAAAACATGCCAGAAAACGATTCATAAATAGCCTCTGAAAACAGTGATTCCATCATCAGCCCCCATCATCAGTGGGGGCCAAGTTCTGTGTTTTATTGAACCTTGTTTGGGAAATAAATCAGAGGAAGATAGAATGATTCATATAATGCTTTCTCAGAGTTAACAGTGAACTGAACGTATATCATGTATAAAAGTGTTGCTCAGTTTTGTGCGTTTGGTGTTCATTGACGGTTTGGGGAGAGGGTGTTGCTGGCGGTGGTTTTCTTGCCCCATTGTTGAGCACTGGCTTTCTTCACATTGTTTTTTGAATATGTGTTGTTTGATTTTGCTCTAGTTAAGACTTAAAAGACAGAAATTGGGATTTACCAGTGGAATTAAACCCATAAAAACTGGCTACAATAGTTCACACTTTCAGATTCAAAGCTTTCAGTAGGTTTACAATTACAGTTAAAGCCTTACATGTATTAGATCATGGGAATCCCATTAGTGACTTTGCTAAGGTTTTGCAAAGACCCTACTAACCCTACTTTCAAAGCGTTTTTGGTGCTTTTAACAGTTATGTTCAGGGTCAAAATCTTAGATGGGATGAATTTAATCTTTTTTTAACAATTAATTTTTTAAAAAAACAGCAATATGTTCCTGTCATCCTTCATCCGTAATGAAACTATGATTTTTCCCCTGTATACAGATAACTGGAACCAAATATAGAAAAAGTTCAAATCAAGTGAAAGGCACAAATCGAAATTAAAGTTACTAAATTTTCTCATCCTTTGGTTTGCTGTCTTAAGATTTAAACAATGAACAGAAGGGAACTTTGTCATGTAAAAGAATGAAAGCCAAGATAAAAAAAGTTACCACCCTGCACAATAAATGCATAAAATTGGGGTGGAAAGAAAGGGATAGCATTTAAGAAGCTTCCACACCGTTGAACAGTCCGTGTTGTTTCGATTTAGTAGCTGAAGTGTCAGTTTGTGCTTCTGAGCCTCCCCAGCAGGAGAGCATGGATTCAGGTAAACTGGAAAGTGGAAGCACTTCACATCAGGAAGATCATCATCTGACAGTAATTTATTATCAGACACTCTAACCTGAATGAAATACTCATCTTTAAAAAAAAAGTATTCTTTATTTTAACAGACCCTTTCTTAGTATAAATGTGGTAATTTTAGTCTTAGAAAGCTGTGTCTAAGTCACAGTAATCTCCTAAATCACATTATAATCCTTGAGAAAGGGAATCCTTTCCTTTTAAGCCAAAGGAACGTTTATCATTAAATTTAAAATAAAATTAAAAAAAAAAACTAGGCACAAAAGGAGCCTCCATTTGAACCCAGGTTTGTTATTCAGATCATTATTGAGATGTGGAATATATTTAGAATTAATTTAGTATATAACCTGTTGGTCTTTCTGAAAAATTTGATTACAATAATCCTCATTTGCAATGGAGACATATTGCTATTTAGAAATCAGTACCAATCACTGAAACGTTAGAACATTGGCAGGGACTGAAGACCAAGGGTGAGGCGCAGTTTACTGTCGTAAACGCTACCTAACTCCAGGGAGCATTGCTGATTTTTCTGGTTGTGATTTACATTTCTTCATGGAAGGGTCCCCTGAAGAAACCTGCTTCCCAGGACGGAATGGGTGCAGGGGCAGCGGCTCAGTGGCTTTGGAAGGATTTCTCCTTCAGTTTGGTTTTTAGACACAGGCAGCCTTTCTAAATTTGAGAAGTGCTGGAAAAAATGAGTAACTTGCTTCACAAAAACAATCACGTGACCTTTTGCCCTAAGAGTTTTTGTACAAGGATATTGAGAAAGCAACCCACTGTGCTAATTACTTATAGTGTATTATAATTACTTATATTATAACCTGGAATTACCCTAGACTGGCACATGCACATTTGCGGGAGGTGAATGTAGATATTTGGATATTTTACAACCCATGACTAGGACATGACTTTTAATTATTCAATTAAAACCATAGTCTAACTCCTTTCCCCTCCGCGGCAGAACGGTTCTGCTGGATCTCTCTGCGACCTACATTGGCCAGGCTTGTCAGACAGCTGACTGGGTTATGGAACTGCAACAGATCACAGGCCAGTCTCTGCAAGTAGAAGATACTTTGTTGCAAAGCACTAGGGTCAAACCAGTGCTCAAACATCTTTTCAGTCCATGCTATATACACTTCTGTCCTTGTTAGGGTGCTCAGAAGTCAGGAAGACTTTTCCAGCTTGGTTACACACCCAGGGTAAATTTGGGCAGTCACACCCAAGGGACAGTCAGCCAGCCAATTAAAAGGGGGCATTTCGGGAAGGGTGTTTATCTTAGGAGGCGGCATTGAGAACATTTTATCCTTTGGTGGGTCCAAGAGAAACAAGTTGTTTGGGGTGGTGTCCTTGGGTTCATTTTTTATCACAAAGATTGGGTGTCATCGCAGTGAAAGATGAAATGAGGTGCAGACGTGTATAATGACATCTTTGGGAGGTAGGGAGCCGGCCAGGGCTTCATGGACTTGGCTCCAGTGGTTCCCCAACTCGGCTCTGTCTTTTAGTCAGAAACCAAACCCGTAGGAGCTTGGGAACTGGAAGCTGGGCACCGGAATGTTAATGGAGAAATGTAAACTGGGGTTGGGGAAACCGATCATTATGAACAAGCATTTGCATTTCTGCCAGAGGCAAATAGGCTTTTATTAGCAATGACTCATAACTGCTTCTCCTCTTCCCATTGTCAGGGTAAATAAATCAAGAGCTACACAGGATACAGGACTCATCCAGGGTCAGACTGTGTTTGGGGCAGCATTCTTTTGCGATCCTCAACTGTGGTTTCATTATTCCTTAGATTTTATAACTCCTTTGTTGAGTAGAGATGCTGAGGGGGTCTGTAAGGAGGCCGTTTCAACTAGTGAGTATTCGGGACCAGTTTCTTCTTGGCTTCTGATTTTTCTAATTAGCAAATAGGAAAATGATTAGAAATTTAGTTTACAAGTTAAAATACCTCTCCAAATTCCTATAATCTTCAGTTTCATTGAGTTCAATAATTCATTTCAGAAAGATTTGTACTTGCTTGGTGATGGCACTGTTATGAGTCATTATTTTCGAGTGTATTTTAAACCTTGAAGGACAGTGAGGATACTTAGGAAAGTTCTCAGAACTACCTAACCCTCCAAGCCCCTCCTAGCTGATCTCTCTCCAGCATATGACTGGCAGATTGGAACTGCGATAGGGGAACCTTCAGACTGTTTTCTAATGTTGCTCACTGTATGGAATTTTCTCTTTGAACTCCACCTAAAAAGTGTTATCACCAGCAAAATTGTCGTATTAACTTCGTTAAATGCAACCCAAATGAAATCGTATACATAGTAACTCTTTTGTG